CCTATTCTCTTACATTGAAGCTGGGGTTTACTTATATGTATTCTTTTGACTCTAAATTTTATTTATTTGTTACTAAATCATTGATTCTTGATATTCTTGAAAACACTATCATGTTTTAAACAAATCTGTGGTGGGATAACCATTAAATCTCTTCTTTTTGACTGAAAATCCTAGTTTTCAAGAGAAATGAATTTTTCTCTTGATTTTTTCTTTGTTCTTGATTTTAAAACTTTAGTGCTTTATATTGAACTACAAAATGGTATTTATGATGATCTTTTGCATATTTTCTTAAATTGTTATATTGGGATACTACTTATAACATTTGGATATTTTTGAATGTATTTGTGATTAGAGAAATTGATTGGATATTGTATCTCTTGTGGATGACCATGGATGACCGTTGACCGGATATCATAGAGTGGGTTAGATGCGTTTCTTACTCCGTGTGGGTTTGAAAATTCCCTATCACTCGGGGTTGGTGCCTTGCAAGGACCAAACCACTATTCGCTCATGTGTTACCGAGACTGAGGGTTAGTATACTATTCCTGGGTTGGATTGTCCCTTCCAATGCGTTGGTATACGCTCCTCCTAAGGATTGAGAATCCTTGAGAGGATTGGGTGTGTGTGTGTGGGCCAGGATATTCTCGATGTGTTTATTTATGCGATGTCATATATCATACCTGAGATACATATACATAATGTTGTAAAAGATACAAGTTGTGGCTTAATATACATTGTGGGTTATTGGTTATTGTTGTAGAAATGACATATTGTTGAAATTAGTTTTACTTCTTCATTTTATATATCGAGATTTCGTAAACTTGAGATCCTTTGAAATGTCCCTGTTTTTCTTCCAAAGTTATATATAATATTTGTGAAATAAAACCGATTTGTTTTATATGTTTTCAAAACCTTGTGTAAACCCCGGGTAAATTTGGACTTTTTCAAAAAAAATAAATAAATAAATGGTAAAATGGTAATTTGCCATTATAATGCATGTTTAAAATACTCATGTTCTAAATCTCAGATGAGGAAATGGAGTTTGTCGTTGGGTTCGTATCGCAAAACCTAGTCACCCTGTCAAATTTCGTCAAATTCTGAGATAGTCAAATTTTTACACGTCGTTCGAGACAACTGCATGGGAAATGACATTTTAAAGGTCCCCAAAAATAAATTTTATAAGAATTCCTTAAAATTAAGTTAAATTTCAAATAAAATTAATTTGAACTTAATCCAAGATATAATGAATCGTTTCGAGACGAAAAACGAATCCTAAAGTCGAAAATATGTGGTGCAATTTGGACTGCACATTAAAGGGGTATAAATAAGGGCAAATATCTGAAAAATCAGATATTTCTCACCATTTTTCAGTCTTGTTTGGCCGGCCACAGAGAGAAAAGAGAGAGAAGAGAGAAAATTTTGATCTTCAAGCTTCTTCTTCCAATCCAAGAAGTTTCGTCGCTTGGATTAACTCCAACCAAGAGTTAAAGTTAATCACCGCGACGAGGGCTACATCTACGTACTAAGAAAAGTGGATTTCACCGAAAAATCAAAGAAAAGATTTTGGAGAAATCAAGTTTTTGGGCTATTGTTGAAATTTTTGGAAATTCTATTATTTCCTTCGCGCTACAAGAGGTAGGGTCCTTCCTACTTTGGTTTTATTCCTCTCCTTTGGGGCTATTCTAGGTCCTATTTAGGAGCTAAAGTTATGGACTATTTGGGGATGAAATTATGGACTATTTTGGGGATGAAATAATGGACTATTTTTGGACTATTTTAATGACTGAAATGGGGCTGCATGTAGGTTGTCCAAATGAACTATTTTACGGACTATTTTTAGGCCAATTTACGGGCTATTTTTAGGCTATTTTACGGACTATTTTTAGGCCATTTTACGGACTGTTTTTAGGCCATTTTATGAACTATTTTTAGGCCATTTTACGGACTATTTTTAGGCTAAAATTGTGCCTTTGTGATTAAGAGTGTTATTGGCATAAAAAATTGTGATAACATGCTTGGAATTATTTTATGAAAATCGTCAATGCATATACATGTTTGTGCTATAATGACATTATACATTGACATTGTGAAAAATTATGAAAATTATGATATCATTTTGTCATGGATCTGTGAAATATGTTGATATTTTTCATATGTCTTTCATAGCATAATGAATATGCTATCATTGTACAATGAGACATCATATTGCATATGCACGGTAACATTGCATCATATGGGTGTGTGCGTGGTTGTCGCCAACACCACACTTGGTGGATGACGAATTTTGGGGCATCATACCTTGTCTAAGTTTGGGAGGATTTTCCTACAGAGCTTAGTGCTCACCCCCAACAAACAATATCATTTTCAGATTTTGCTTTAGAAGAAGAGCTCGGAGTTGATGAGCAGGTACCTTGGAAGGCTCAAGTGGATGGACATGTGGATCCGGAGGGGGATGTTTAGAATTGCTCTTTTTATGTTCTAGACTAAGAGATTCATTTTGAGACAATGTGAAGTCTAATATTTTGTTATTCCGTCGCAAGATAATATTTAATATTTTTTGGATGTAAGTGTCATAGTTGGGCATATTCTTTTGGATGCAATGATCATGGTTTGGCCTAATCTTTTGAATGGAATTGTGAATATTATGATTGATGAATGAAATCTTCTTTACTTATGGATCATATTAGTTGCTCTCATGAAGTGAATGATTTTAGATAGTAATGCTGTCCAATGTGTTTTTTTTTTTTGGGCGTTTCACTACCTTATATAGTTTATAACTTAGTGCAAGTGTAGTGGCTAGATGGGAAATGATTTACAGATTTGATGAAAACTGAGAGCTGCCTATATTCTCCCTCCTCTTTTTTTTTTCCTTTATTATATAGTGGTTAGTCCTTTTATTTATAATATGTTTTGAATTCAATTTGATTATGTTTAGTTTTTTTTATTGCATTTGAATTTATTTTTCATGAGAATCTAAAAATATGAAAGGCAATTACTAGCATTTCATAGTACATTTATATGATATACAAATTGTGTATACAACGTGATTTTTTTTATTTTTTTAATTCTACTGTTACAGGAAATCCTATTGAATTTTTTTTTTTTTTTTATTGAGCATGAAATTTATTAGGTCACCTGAATGCACTATGTGAGCCGCTGTCCTTTTGCTAATAATCACTTACAAAATTGGGGAGGTCTTCAAATGCCTTTGTAGGTTTACTTGATAGATCACGAGTGCCAATTTCAGTTTTCCTATTCAAAAATAAAAGTGTTAGTAACCAATGAAATGACAGTTTCGATAGTACACATAGGTGTGCTCAAAATTCATGAAGTAAAAGGTATAGAAAATTTGATGTGGCATGGGAGATGACTTGACTTGAAGCATGGGAGATGTGAAGAAAGCAGTACGGCAATAGTGTCTTTCTATGTGTTTAATTCAATTGACATGGAATTATGAGTGTTCATTTTTAATGTGTGACCAACTTTTTATGGTTTTAGCTTCTTTATCTTTTTAAGCAATGTCTATTTCTTCATTTGAGTGTGGGTGTATGACTAGTTGTGTTTAACTTCTTGACATAAAATTATTTGAAGAAAGTCCGGTTGAAGGTGTACACTATTCTATTGTGAAATTTATTTGACACTTTTTTTTCTGCTTCAATTTACTAGAAGTTTAAAATTTTTTAAGTGATATTTTTGTGTTACCAAGTGTCTTCAGCTAGGGGCTTATTGCACCTACCATTGGGCTTACATTGACTGCCAAATTTTCTCAATTTCTTAGGTGTGATTTTTTGGGTGATAGTGTGCCTTTAGCATTGGGCAGTTTTTGCGATTTTTAGGTTTATTATAGAGTACTTTTAGGTACGGAAAATTACTAGTTCATAGACGATAGACTTTGATACCACATATAATAATTTTAATAATTCGTACATGAAACTTAAAACACTTAAATTATATAGTTTAGATTATACATGTGTGAGTCATAATTTTCGATCTTCGGATTTTTTTTTGCGGAAGAGTAATGTCTTCTTTTCTTTCAAAGCAATACGCAGCTTTCAATGTGATAAGCCAAATTAGGTTATGAAGTGGATAGGTGACCTAGCCTATCTATTTATAATGAATCTAAAATGTTCTCCAATGACATGTAGTAATTAGATTAACGTCTTTATTTTACTGTCTCAACCACATCAATTAAAAAGATGTAGATAAACCCATCAAGATAAATCACTTAATAATATTGGACTCATCTCATTAGACCACAAATTCAACCCATTTTTCAAAGACCCAAAATTAACTATCACTTAATGAAAATCAAATATAACAAAATTATAACAAAATTGGCATTCATAAATAGGCATGTGAAACTAGTATCATAAACAACGCAGGTCTGTAAAAGAACCACGAATCATAGATACATCAAAAAGTTTTGCAGCATACTAAGCAAGATAATTACAAGTAATACAACAAATCAAAAAAAAATCGTAGCTATTAAATTGATAATAGATTTCTATTAATTGTGGAGTTCATTGTTAATTTAATGATAGAGAATGATAACGTCACCAAATAGGGTGACTAATGTAACATTGTCGGCCCTTTTCTATCACACCCTGACCTCTTTCCTCTTCTTATTCACTTTTTATACTAGATATGCACGAATAAGTGTCCAAACGTAAAACATAGCTGGGTTAATACTGTAAGACAATATCATATAGGTCCTCAACTGCCTCAATTAAAGTATTTTAAATGTTTTAAGAGATAAACGTAAGATTATCCGAAAATTGAAGAGTCATCTTGAGTTGAAAACTTGCATGACAAACTACAGTCAGTTCTTCACATTTATTGAACATCTTTTCATTGCACACTCAAATCAAATCCATGCTAGAGTACAACTTATAAACAGCTAAATGCTTAGTATTCCAAATACTTGCATAACATAACATCTTGAAAGCACAAACAATAATCATCATACCTTACGAAAAAAAAACATTAATCAACATCCAGGCTCATATGGGAATGGGATCGATTAACAATGAGACAACATAATCTTTCAACTGTAGTTCTGGATGTGTGTATGCATCTCCATCCTTGTAAACTACCTCCAGAAATCTTGTCAGGTTGAGAACTCGCATGAGTATAGCCATAGGAACGGGGGTTGGTCTAAGGCATTCCTGATTAATATCTTTCCATGCATTTGCAATCATTCGGTACAATTCATCAATAGCCTCTTCCTTTGACACTCCATAAGCCTTCAAATAGCATTCAACCCCTGTAGCAACATGCACCCTCTGATCTTCTTCCTTCAAATTGGAGAAATTTACAAATGAATGTCACAAACAAAAATGTTTTTGACAAATAAGTATATGTGCAAATCTATGTGTTGATTATTGAGTTTAGTGATTTAAGTAACTATTATACCTCATGGCTCGCTATGTCATTAATGAGCCGCCCAATTATGTTTGCTGCAACAAGAACTTTAGGTTTGTTTTGCATCCATTCAAATGCTTCAACGTTAGCAACTTCTCCCATGCCCAATAAGGACGCGAATCCAAGCATCAAATGACCACCAGTGATCAACCCATTACTCATATACTCATCAAATGTCGCCTTGTATCCTTTGTTACACCAGTTAGCCTCAATTTCATAACCCATAACTATTTCTTTAAACTGTGATCAGGGACAATAGTAAAAAGAAAAAACCAACAAGTGGTGAAAAAAAAAATATAGAAGAAATATATGACCCATACTGCTTCTTGTGAATAATAAAGGCGGTATGATATTCCTTGCTTTGCCATTTCCTCCTCTAATTCTTTGTACAGATTTAAGAGATTTCTGTAAACTATTTTCATGTAATCTGGAAGCTGGTCGATTTCCTTCATGTCCCACCTAAAAAATAAAGCAATGTCATTTTAGTTCTTAATCTAATGCAAAAGGAAAAAAAATAGAAATTGTTTCCTCTTTTCTGGTTGTCCACAGTGCAGGGGAGCTTCTTGCATAAAAAGCGAATTATTGATGGTTCAACCCATTCATTTGTCTTTTTTATTCACATGCTTATGATACTGGAAAGCCCTTACTACAGAAGAAGCCATCACAATTCAATATCATCTATCCATTTCCCTAGTTTTCGCAATAAACAAATGACTTTGCTACGAGGCTATAAGAAAGAAACAAGGGCTTCAAGAAATTATAACCTCTGTGTTGCTTTAGTGTAAAGTCTGAGTTCTTCAGGTAAACCATATGCATCATATGTATCATCTACAACAGTTAACATTACAAAAATTTTGGTGAAAATGATCCTGCTAAGGGAGTAATGAGGTTCGTAATAGGTTGCAATAGCCCAAATGTAGCTCTCGACCAGTCTGCTCCTTATATAAGGAAGTTTTGATGAAAGATCCAAATCTTTCCACCACCTAGAAGTCAAAACACAAACATATCAGTTTCCCAAATGCATATGTCGTATGCTCCCCCTCCCTTTCAACCCCTCTCTGAATCCCACCTACTCGCCCTGTTTTTTATTTCTTTTTTTGAGATGAACTCACTCACCTTGAGAGGAGACATAGTTCTTCCTTGTGCAACAATTGTAATAGATTGAAATCGAGCTTTGCAAGTCTCAATAGCATTTCATTCCTAGAATCATCTTCTTCGTAAGCAGAGATGTAATTCCTTGCATCTTCTCTTGGGAACCCCTTGTGAAGGGATTGTTTCAGTGCATGCTTCACTTCTTTTGCAAGAGTGGGGCTTAAATGGATCGCAATGGACCGAAGGTGAGTGGTTGCGAATACAAGAGCCTCATCCAAAATATCGTCTCCATGTGTCCTCAAATGTGCAGCTTCATATAAGCTTAGCATACCCATCACGTCGCTAATAATGGATTCCTTGAATCCTCCATTGGTCTCACTGAATTTGCTAAAGACAGCTGGTTTATAATTGAAGACATCCTATTAGACATCGACCATGGTATACGTATGAAAATGCATGCAAACAACAATATCCACGTAAGACCTATGTTATAAGCAACATACCACACGACATTTTATAGCCATGTTGTCTGAATATTCTGAAGTGAAGGGCAATGGTGCACAAATCATAGCCTTCGTCATTTTCATAGTCATGACGTGCATAAAACATTTGCTCCAATTGGTCTTCAATCTCTTTCTCAAAGTGATAGGAAACACCAAGGCGTTCGAGTGTGTTAATCAAATGCATTTTCTCTGTTGGTTTGCTTCCTGCTGCTACTAGCATGCTCCTCACCTTTTCTTTCAGCACTTCAATTTCATTAGCATACTTATCCCACTCCTGCATCGGCACACCAGGCAATGCATGAAAAGAGAAGTCCCAAAATAAATTGCCTATTTATCAGGTTTGGCTCAATAGTATTTGGGGTTCTAAGGGAAAACTTTAAGTAAGTATTTGGGGTTATTTTATGACTATGCCTTTTTTTTAACCAAGAAAGATAATTTATGCCACTTTATGACTATACTATTTTTCATATAAATGTATTTGTATATGTCTTAATTACGAAGTGTGATTGGATTGACTTATTATTTCAAATGTACTCGTTGAATTGGTGGCATAGTGTAAAATTTATTTAAAAAAAAAAAAGTGAATCAGATTTCATTTCATAATATTTTTGAGTCAAATTAACCCATATTACAAAGATAAAAAATATATTTTTTGGCTCCTCATTTTTTGGGCTCTAAGCAAGCATTTCAGTTGCTTATAGTCTCACTGCCCCTGTATTCATATATAGACAGTTCAAGTCTTTCACGTAACAAAACAAGTTCCAAAATTGGCAGTATTATTTTTTTTTTTTGTCATCCAGAAAACTGTCTTTCCTGCCAGATGGATTAATTGCTTAATTAATCCAAGTTAAATGATAAATGAATTAGCCTAAGCAATATCCGTTCATTTGAAATGGGGAAACATGTGTCACAATATTAAATATTAGATCATTAGAATGAAAATACTTTGAACTGCAACGTTATTGTAGCGTTTATTGTTGGAGATGCTCTAACGATCTACAATGCTATTGTAGCGTTGGTTATATCTCGTAATGGTGAGATAACGCTTGTTACCTCACGGTCGATTTTCAAAACTGTGGTATATGTTACATATATTACCTTCACGCTCAGCAATATGGTTGAAAAGAAAGGAAGACCTCAACAGAAGAAGAAAAGAAGTAGATGACAAAGAGAATGAAGACTATGAAGCGGTGGAAAGCGGGGTGAGGATTGTGTAGTCTGTCGGCGTACCTTGAACATTATTACATATCTTTTTTTTTTTTTCCATTATATAATCTAACACTTATCTACGAAATGAAAATGCAACTGTAAAAAAGAACATGTGTGTGCTTGTGTGTATGGATATGTATATTGCAATGCTAGGGATATAAGGAAACATACTCTCATATTCAAACCAAATCTTGTAAAAAAAAATAAAAACTAAATTTTCTGGTAGAATTATTGGGACACCTGATGATGAATAGATGTTATTTTTTCCCCCGAAGACTTTTAACAAACATTGATCTTCCTCTTTTCTTTGTTAACAGTAGGAAACTATAGATTCATAATAAAATTAGTCTTATGATTAATATGATATTGAAGTTTTCTTTATACTATATAAACAGTTTCGCTAAGTATTCACCTAAGGTTAGGATGTATATGGCTAAAGAAAAGAAAAAGTTACAATGTACAGATTTATGTACAGTGTGTAGATAAATACGTGTCAAGAAAAACGTAAATCAAATAAAAAAAAAATCCTAATTTAAGAAGTAGAGAGGAGAGGACGAGTTTCATGGGTCTAGGAAGCACGAGAAAATATTCATTATAAAGGTGATATCACGTGACAATATTAGCGTGGTATTACCAATCAAAAATATCAAAATAAATAAATAAATAAATTCCACTAAAATTAATAATTAACTTCCGTGTAAATAAAATAACTACGCACTCTTTCTTCACATGAAAAAATAACTACTTATTCACTTTATGTTTTAATTTTGATTAATAATACTACGTCAACATTGCTGACATGTATTATTGTTATATTCAATATTTACTCCTTGGATCACTACTTGCTAGTTTTCTAAGGCAAGAACATAAAACTGCAAGTAACTCAATAGAGAACGAACTAAAATGAAATCAACCAACTTAAGCAAGCTGTCAAGACAGCTTTAAAATAGCTCGACAACACAAGAAAAAAGCTCTAATACACCTAATACCCGGAACTCTACTTGGTTTTGTTTTGGCAGACCATTCTCTCTCTCTCTCTAACACACACACACAGAGTCACTCACTCACTCGCTCAATCACGCTCACACAACACACACATACACCGAAGAGCATAAATATATCCATAGCCCAGGAATATACCTGCTTATCCAAAGAAAATGAACAGAACTGATCACCCCACATGCATGGGAGGAAGTTTGCCATTGGGCGAACAATTTCAGGCTGATTAGACACATGCTTACTAACGTCAGAAGCAGCCATTCTGAGCTACAGTATAGGTTAACTTGTGATGAGAATTAATGCCACGAAGGGAGCATTTATAGAAGAACTGAAGAAGTGAGCATAACACTTTCCGAAAAAAGAAAGAAGTGAGCATGACTAAAGTAAGCAAGTAGACAAGACAGTATGGGTAAATAATATAATAATGAGCATTATTAGACATGACATAGTCTAATAATGCTGTTTAGATTTTAACTCTTATATTTTTTTTATTAGAAAGGCATCACACATATTATGTCCGTAAATTAGATAAATTTTTTAGATCACAATAACATTATTCATAATATAATCTTTTCAGCCGCACGGAGGTGAGGGATTTTGAGTAAGTAAACTAATAAATAAATAATTATCAACCAGTATTTGAATAGTATAATATAAAATTAATACTATTGAGATATAATTTAAAGACATAATGCAATATAGTCATCAGATTGATATTAAAGTACATTTAATATTAAGACTCACTAATAATTTAACACTTACGATCATTATGTGCACAAATAATTTTGCTACTTGATGGTTATTGGAGCTCAGTAAATAAGTTTGCTACTTCCAGTAACGCGGCACTCCACGAGAAAGAGTAATAAGATTCCCACCTAGTTTAATACACTAACTTATTAACCTAATTCATAGTCCTAAAGGACCTCAGAGTGATGGGCAAAGTCACCCATGGAGGAAGGTTATCATGGACCTAGAGTCGTAGCCAAGAATTTTATTTTGAGTGCACACTAAGGGTAACTCAAGGTAATTTGAGGTCTAAATCGACAAAATTAAATGTGGTTTTTTTTTAATATTAATTTTTAAATAAATTAATTTATTTTTAATTTATTATGTGAGAGAGAGATAGAAGAATGACGTGTTAGTGTTATCAAGAAATATAGTTTAACATTTGTTTTTGTTTGTTACCGGAAAGAGAGTTTAATTTCAATTTTTTTATATATGTTTTTTACTTATTTTTACACACACAGTGTGGCTTAGGGGTAAAAATTAGTTTATTTTTGAGTATTTTTTATTTATTCAACTTATGATTTTTAAGTTTCTAATGTTATAGATTAGATCATGGACCTAAATTATTACAATAAAATTTTTTATTGTATTTAATTTTTTGGGCTTTTTTGTTGAGGGCTTAAAATTTAATGAATTTAAATTTTTCTTGATTTAGTAATGTACCTAAAATTTGGGGGTTAGAGCCCAATTTTTTTTTTTAATACTGTTGAGCCTCCCTAGTGCACACATACATACATACTCTACTTTTATTATTATTATTATTAATTAGAAGTAGATCCCATTAAATTGGGGACTCATGTAGCATTACTAATTTTCAAAATTATATAATGTCGATAAAAAATAGAAAACTCCGGCCAGAAACACCAACAAAGTATCCTTCAAGCCCAAGACTGAATTATATATGGACTGATGTAGCATTACTAATTCACAGAGTATTTAATGGTTCGAGTTCGCTAATCTCGTGATTCTAATGTAGATCCAATTAACTTTATAAAATCTAATATTTTATTTGGATAGAAAATTTTGGATCAATGGGCCCCATGCTCATGTCCTAATAAATGTAAATGACATGACCACCACACTCTTTTTCATTTAAATGGTTTCTAATCTTATACCAAGTTGGGATGGGTAAAAATATTTTGGATGAATATTTTTATGAAAACAATTAATAATAACAATATTGATTGCCATAAAATAAGTAATACTTTATTTTGAAACGAAATTATGATTTTTATTATATTATATGGAGTTTAAACCATTGTAATTTTTTAATATTGTTTTATCTGTCAATTTAAAAACACAAAATCGAACAATTTTTTAATTTTTAAAATTTTTTCATGCACACAATTTATGATCAAAATAGCCGATGTTGTGGTATTATGCTTCAAACCAAACAACAAATTTTGATCGTCACATAATCCTAAACACAAACAATGAATACAACATATTAAATATACAAAAGTTTTAAATACAACCTCCAACCACAGAAAAAAAAGAAGAAGTATATATACATATTCAAAAAAGCTCAAGCACGTCCAACTGAGCACATAGAACAATTGTCAAAAAACAAATTAAAATTTGGATTTTCGATGGATCATGTCGTGTCCAATTTTATCTAAGTCGTGTTGTCTCAAAATTTTCTCAACCCATTTCTTATTTTATTTATAATCAAGTGTAGCCTAATTTGGGTCATGTAAAAGACTTTTTTTTCGATAAGAATTTTCATTAACCGAAAGTAAAAACATGTATACCGTATGATTTATGGATACTTACAAGCTACCAAAAAAAATAAGCGTGTAAAATTAGATGATATAGATGACCTGATATTTCGCAATGATCAACATACAAAGAAAACAACCAAACCCAAAGGCATCAAAAGACTGTTTATAACTAATTAATGTCGACGAATATCTTTGACAGGTTTATCGTGTACAGTTATCTCTATTCGAATCCAAGATGACTTAATTTTGTTGTTTTGGGTTAGACACTATTACATAAAAAAAAGACGACGAGATTCCATAACTTTAAAGTCCAGTAACAGAGGAGGCAGGCAATAAATCAACCGTTGACCTCACTATGACTCAACTTAAACTTGCCGAGTCTGCATCGATTTAATGTCGAGTTTGCAAGTAATGTGTAGAATTCGGAGGCCGATTCCGAAGCAAGAAAGTTGGCAATAAAGTTGCCGGACTACCCAAGAGAGCTCACGCATGAGGAAGAGTATAAAACAAAAACTTACATTATAACAGTTTGCTTTTTTGAGTAAAACAGTGGTTCAACGCACATTCATGTCCCACAGTGCAAATTGTGTCTACCTCACCACTCACAAGTGGCCAAGAAAGGAAAAGCTGGGTTGAGAGATTCAGTCCAAATCAATCCACAGAAGATAAGGCGCAGTTCTCGAGGAACACAATTATTACTCGGCGATAAAAGAGCCCAACAGTAATATGCATTCCACCAACCATACATACGTAATAACCAAAAAAAATAAAATAATAATCCTACATAGCTACAATTTTGCTTCGTCATTTTACTTTTGTCACTTGCTCTATCTTTCCAAGAAATGTGTTTTACCAATGTCACTTTTTTTATCAGGGCTTTAACAATGTTAAATTCATGGACTATTTTTATGATAAGTTGATCTGTGGACTCCTAAAAGTTCTAGAGGGACACAATTATTACTCGGCAACAAAAGAGTCCATTAATAATATGCATCCCACCAACCATACATACGTAATAACCCAAAAAAATAAAATAATAATCCTACATAGCTACAATTTTGGTTCGTCATTTTACTTTTGCCACTTGCTCTATCTTTTCAAGAAATGTGTCTTACCAATGTCACTTTTTTTATCAGGGCTTTAACAATGTTAAATTCATGGACTATTTTTATGACAAGTTGATCTGTGGACTCCTAAAAGTTCTGGAGGGACACAATTATTACTCGGCGACAAAAGAGTCCATTAGTAATATGCATCCCATCAACCATACATACGTAATAACCCAAAAAAATAAAATAATAATCCTACATAGCTACAATTTTGGTTCGTCATTTTACTTTTGCCACTTGCTCTATCTTTCCAAGAAATGTGCCTTACCAATGTCACTTTTTTTATCAGGGCTTTAACAATGTTAAATTCATGGACTATTTTTATGACAAGTTGATCTGTGGACTCCTAAAAGTTCTGGAGGGACACAATTATTACTCGGCGACCAAAGAGTCCATTAGTAATATGCATCCCACCAACCATACATACGTAATAACCCAAAAAAAATAAAATAATAATCCTACATAGCTACAATTTTGGTTCGTCATTTTACTTTTGCCACTTGCTCTATCTTTCCAAGAAATGTGCCTTACCAATGTCACTTTTTTTATCAGGGCTTTAACAATGTTAAATTCATGGACTATTTTTATGACAAGTTGATCTATGGACTCCTAAAAGTTCTGGAGGGACACAATTATTACTCGGCGACAAAAGAGTCCATTAGTAATATGCATCCCACCAACCATACATACGTAATAACCCAAAAAAATAAAATAATAATCCTACATAGCTACAATTTTGGTTCGTCATTTTACTTTGCCACTTGCTCTATCTTTCCAAGAAATGTGCCTTACCAATGTCACTTTTTTTATCAGGGCTTTAACAATGTTAAATTCATGGACTATTTTTATGACAAGTTGATCTGTGGACTCCTAAAAGTTCTGGAGGGACACAATTATTACTCGGCGACAAAAAAGTCTATTAGTAATATGCATCCCACCAACCATACATACGTAATAACCAAAAAAAATAAAATAATAATCCTACATAGCTACAATTTTGGTTCGTCATTTTACTTTTGCCACTTGCTCTATCTTTTCAAGAAATGTGTCTTACCAATGTCACTTTTTTTATCAGGGCTTTAACAATGTTAAATTCATGGACTATTTTTATGACAAGTTGATCTGTGGACTCCTAAAAGTTCTGGAGGGACACAATTATTACTCGACGACAAAAGAGTCCATTAGTAATATGCATCCCACCAACCATACATACGTAATAACCCAAAAAAATAAAATAATAATCCTACATAACTTCAATTTTGGTTCGTCATTTTACTTTTGCCACTTGTTCTATTTTTCCAAGAAATGTGACTTACAAATGTCACTTTTTTTATCAGGACTTTAACAATGTTAAATTCATGGACTATTTTTATGACAAGTTGATCTGTGGACTCCTAAAAGTTCTGGAGGGACACAATTATTACTCGGCGATAAAAGAGTCCATTAGTAATATGCATCCCACCAACCATACATACGTAATAACCCAAAAAAATAAAATAATAATCCTACATAGCTACAATTTTGGTTCGTCATTTTACTTTTGCCACTTGCTCTATCTTTCCAAGAAATGTGCCTTACCAATGTCACTTTTTTTATCAGGGCTTTAACAATGTTAAATTCATGGACTATTTTTATGACAAGTTGATCTGTGGACTCCTAAAAGTTCTGGAGGGACACAATTATTACTCGGCGACAAAAGAGTCCATTAGTAATATGCATCCCACCAACCATACATACGTAATAACCCAGAAAAATAAAATAATAATCCTACATAGCTACAATTTTGGTTCGTCAATTTACTTTGCCACTTGCTCTATCTTTTCAAGAAATGTGCCTTACCAATGTCACTTTTTTTAACAGGGCTTTACCAATGTTAAATTCATGGACTATTTTTGTGACAAGTTGATCTGTCTACTCCTAAAAGTTATGATGTAAAATAATTTAATTATAGGATTTATATCATGTTGTATTAGAATTTATTTAATTTATATTCATTTTGTTAATAACCAATCGTAAAAAATCATATATTGTGTTGATGTGAAATATTTTATTCACTAAATGGGCTAATGAAAGAAGCAGACATTCTCGGATACAAAGAAATGCAATTTAGGGTGATTATACGAATACAATGCAAGATATATTTGTAGAAGTAGTGTGCGTATCGCAGTCGGGGCAAGGGGATATTTGTAGAAGAACCTTTGGTCTAAATTGTGATTGGATCAATTGATATGATTGAATCCATTATTGCATATGGAATAAACAATCGATCCCAACCAATAATGAGATTTGATAAAAATAAATTGGCAAGTACCAAAATTCTGTAAAAAATGGGTAGCATTACTCAATTATAAATATCTAGAACTCATTTTGATTCTCGGGAACCAAATGATAAAACTAAATAAATTGACCAAACAATGTAATACCGAAATAGTGACTTTCTTTTTTGTTTCACTTATAAAATAACACTAGCTTAACATTATTTACTCACTGTTTTTAGTCCAAGTTTTTGTTCAGTCTAACATTATCCAAAATTAATTTTCAGAGTAATATTACTTGAATTTAATTTGTTAACATAATCTACTAAATAGATTCATTATTATTATTAATTAGAAATAAATCCCAATAAATTGGGGACTCATATACCATTACTAATTTTCAAAATGACATAATGTCGGTAAATAATAGAAAAATAAGGCCAGAAACACCAACAAGTGTCATTCCGCTCACTGAATTATAAAGCACAACTGAGATGTGAAGTCGACTCCACCCCCAATTTCCTTGAGATTGAATGAGGCTCTTATTAAGAGATCTATTTGTGAATGGGCCACCTTTCTTGGCAAAGAAAGAACAGCAAGTTCAAGTGATTGATCAAAATCTTCTCAAATAGATATAGTCTATTGTTCGGGTGCAGGGAGTTAAAGTCTATCATTAACCACCATGGTAGAATCAGTCGGAGACTTAAGGTGTGTTGGTTTACCTTGTCATGGAGGATTTAATGGTTCGAGTTTGCTAATCTCCTAACCTTAGTAAATACTAAATTATTTTCCAATTATTAACATATTCTATAACCAGAAAAAGAAAAATAGAGATGTTCAACAAAGTTCAAAAAAATCCAACTAAGCGGATGAAACAATTCTCGAACAATCACTGCTCTGCAAATACACTACGTCTTGTCTAATATGGAATTGCTCTAATTACGCGAGATCAGTTTAATAAAATACTGAATAAAATTAGTTTTAAAAAAACTATTGGGCTAATGGAAAAGCAATTACGATTGTTATAAGTCTTGTTGTATTGGATTCACGTCTTTTTTAAATCATGTCATGTCAAAATTTGATCAGTAATGTTTGACACATTTGTAATCATTTATAGACAAGTTGGTGTAGTGTTGGATTCGTGTAATAATTAAGCCACGTGAAGACTGTGTTTAATTATTCAATTTGTTTATTATTCGAATCCATTAAAACTAAATTCAAACTTATTACTTCTACGTTGATATTATGTTAAGTTCTTATATTGTGTCTAAAATTAGAATCTCATTATGGAATAAAAAAAATACATTTTTGAAAAAGTGTTCTTCAGAGAAAATTTGGAGCATAATACTGGGAAATTGCAACATCCCATGGCAAACCTTTATCATGGCATCAATTCATTCAATTGGTGGCAACTACATGGAGAGGGAGATCCCTCCAGGGAGTAGTAACCAACATGTCTGGTTTCCTAGTCTTTTGGTTATATCTGTCAAGCAGGCAGTTGATGAATTTTAATTTTTTGTTTTTGATGTAGTGTTGTAATTCATTTTGAGATCAATACAGTTTTCATTTAGGCAAAAAAAAAAAAACTAATCTAACATTTTCGAACAATATAACATGACGTCCTAAACTGCCTCAAAAAATGTACTTTTTTATAGAGTTAAACTTATACATATTATATAAAGGGAAGATTATACTTAACCCTCTCAATTATGACCCTCTCTTCACTTTGCCCCTCAATTATTATGTTTTTCATCAACTAAGTGATTAGTTTCATATTATCCTAATTATTAGTGTCCATCATATATTTAACAGAAAACTATTTCAGTTTGCCCCCCGAAAAGATAAACAAATGTTTACGGTTGGGACAGGGTGAAATAATCAATGTACTCAAGAGGTAGTATGAAAAATTTAACAGTTCAGGGGGGCAAAGTGAAAAAAATGTCATAATTGAAGAGATCAAAGTGTAATTTACCCTTAACAGAAAAAATAAAGAGTCATTTAGAACTGAAAACATGCTTGACATTAAGCCACAATCAATTCATTACATTTATTTAACATATGATGAAATACATGATGAGATAAAAACATGTCATAATACACGAGTCTCCCGCCATTGTGACATCTGCGGAGGATTAGAAATAAACAACTTTACTTCATCATGTGGAGATGCTACTTCTTACAAAAACCTAAATGAAAATGAGATTAATGAGCAAGGTGACAACATGATATTTCAACGCTAATTCTGGATGTGTGTATCCATCCTCCATGCTTGTAAACGGCTTCCAGAAACCTTGTCAAGTTGGGAACTCGCACGAGGATAGCCATTGAAATGGGGGTCGGCTTAATGCATTCATGATTAATATCTTTCCATGCATTTGCAATCATTTTGTAAAACATATCAATAGCATCTTCCTTTGACACTCCATGATCCTTCAAATAATATTTAATCCCTGTAACAACGATTGTCTTTTGATCTTCTTCTTTCAAATTGAATAGAAAATTACTTTTGAATGTTCACATGAATTTTTTTTTTTTTTGACAAAATTATATATATATATATATATATATATATATATATATATATATATATATATATATATATATATTTGCTCATATAGTGGCGTGATTTATGCAACTGTCATACCTCATGGCTCGCAATGTCGTTCATGAGCAGCCCAATTATGCTTGATGCAACAAAAACTTTGGGTCTGTTGTGCAACCATTCAAATGCCTCAATAGTATAAAATTTTCCCATGCCTAATACGGACAAAGGTCCAAGGAGCAAATTACCGCCGGTGATCAACCTAGTAGTCATATACTCATCAAATGTTGCCACGTATCCCTCACTACACCACTTGTCCTCAATTTCATAGCACTTCACTAATTCTTCAAACTATTGTCACATTGACAAAAAAAAAATCATTTTCACTGTTAATTTGGAAGTACATGAAAAGAAAAAATGAACAAGAGTAAAAGATAAATATATATAGATTATTTTCATGTAATTTGGAAGTTCATCGATTTGATTCATATTCCACCTGAAAATTAAAGCAATCTCATTATAGTTATCACTTGAATGCAAAAATAAAGAAAACAAATTTACTCTTTTCTATTTTGGTTGTCAAACGGTGGAGAAATGTTTATACCACATACAATAAAACATTGATGGTTGAACCATTCAGTTATGCTCAAAATAAAAAACCATATTTGAAAGCCCCGACTATAGAAGAAGACGCCACAAAATAAATAGTTGTCGATTTGGAGGGGCTCTTTGTTGTATAATACAGTGTGGTAAAACAATTTCAAGTCATAGAAAAGCAAAAAATCAAAAATCGAAGAAGATTGATCGCTAGGCAAGGCACGATATTCACTATCTTCAAAAAAGTAATTTCCCCACTTATAATGCAAATGAACTTTTGAAAATTCTACCCCCAAGATACAATGTCTAACTTTAAAATTATCAAAAACTGCACTTCTCAGTAATCTTGGAATCAAAACTCAACCTGAATAGAAAATCAGAAAATATAGAAGCTTTGAATTAAGAAGAAAAAAAGGATTAAATTGTTGATACTTTGTTCTTGCATTTGAACCCTATTTATTGATGAAAGAGTGTAACCCTTCAAAACCATGCTAGAAGACACCCCTTGAAAGGGCTGTAATGATATTGTCGTTAGAGACTAATTTCAAACAGAATACATGTCACGTTCAAACAAGATTGTCATGTTCGAACGTACTCAACTCTCAGTATCTCAATTATGAGATTTCTACCAAAGTACTGGGAACAAGTCACGTTCGAACGTGGGTTGTGTTCGAACGAACTGAAGTCCTAGTATCTTAGTTTCCAGAGCCGAGCTGTTTGATGAGTTTGGTGAGAAACGAAAGAGGTCGGTCCTCATTGTGACCGAGCTGTTTCAAATAGTCAAACGAAGAGCAAAAAATTTGCCTATAACTCAGGCATCCTAGATAAGGTAATGGGCTTAATGATAGGCCAGGCCAAGGGAATTGCTAGAGAGATTTCAGTAACTTCCCAAACAGAGTCGTCTAATTGAAGGAAGGTGTGCCACCTTGAATTGAAAATCTTGTAAACCCTAATTGAACAGAGATCTATAAAAAGCACAAGGAGTCAGGGTAAAAGGTATGTTGAAGTCTCCTTGTCCTCTTGCAATTGTCTTAGTTCCATTACTGACTTAAGCATCGGAGTGCCTTCGATCGAAGCACTTCAATCTTGGGCAGTTTGTTCGTTTTGCAGGAAAACAAAGACAGGGGGGATTAGGTTCAGAGCTCACTCTTATCAGAAACGTTCATTCTTTATTCTTGTAGGAGGTGTCCTCAATTTTTACCTCTTACACAATCTCTCTCTTATTTACTAAATTTGATAGTAATAACGTAAAATTTCGGGTACAGTATAATGCGTGCCCTAGGTGGACGATCCCTTGAACCTAGAGTTTAACATGGACCTATAAACTTTAAAAGAAAAAGAGAACTATGTCTTGATCTTGTAACATTCAAATTCTAAGAAACATATTCGCACTATGCACGGAGTTTAATGTTCCTCTTGAGGCAACGCGTTATTTGGCCATGTGTTAATCCTGCTTAGCTAGTACACTAGGGTTTACCAAAAAACCCATAGAAAGTGGCCCTTACCTCCATAATCACAAAGGCAGACTCATCAAGGGTGTTCCACAACCACTCTATCACCCCAAACAATCTATGAGTTCTGTTAAGGACAAAGTCCAACATTCTTGTTGTGGAAAAAAATAGTGCATTAACTAGATGTCAGACTTTAATTGGAATAGACTTACCCTCACTATTCCTAAAATAAACAATGCACCAGAAATGTAAGCTCACATTAACATTTCTTTGATAATACCTGACTAAATTTTTTTGAACTCTAATCAAGAGATTTTCAACGTGTCAGCATTAACTTGTTATAGTGGGCTACAATCAAGATTATCTCTATTGAATTGGTAATAGTCCCATACCTCTCATGGTTTTACTGATCTTCTCACCACATAGTGGTTTTGTTAATGGATCCGCTTTCATTTGATCAGTAGGCAAGTGCTCAAGTGTGACTATACTTTTTTTCACAATCTTCCGTACATGATTATATCTCATAGCAATATGCTTGTTATTATTTGATATTCTCTTATTCTTAGTATTGTAAATCGCTGCTTGATTATCACAATGCAAAGTAAGAGGTCCTTTAATAATATTAATAATATTAATAAAAGGAATGCTTTTCATAAACTTTTTCATCCATATAATTTCTTTACTAGCTAATGACACAACAATGTATTCATATTCCATGGATGATAATGCAATGCCTGATTGTTTCTTAGAAGACCATGCAATAATAGCACCACCTAAAATGAATAACCAACCACTAGTTGATTTAGAGTTTATTCTATCAGATGTTGATGAGTGGGTTTTGTACCTACGAATTGAGTGCTTTCGGCTTAATGAAATTGCAAGTTTTCAATTATTTATGTTCATTTTTATTTTTTTGTGTGTTTTGATGTTATTTTGTAGGAATGACCATTTGGGAGGAAACAAGGTCAAAATTGGAGCCTAAGTGTTGGATTTTTGAAGAGGAAGCTAAAGGGCATTTTAATGGAGTATTTATAGCGTACTATTTTGTAGCATTACCTCGGTTTTCTGAATGTTTGACCATGATCCACTTTGAATCTGAAAAAGTGAAAAACATGAAAGCTTTAGATCAGGATGTCTTCTATATTGTGTCAACATTTCAGCTTAATCGGACGGTTGTATCAAAAGTTATGACGATTCTACAAAGACTGGTCCGGAGCAGGCAGAATACAAGGAGGCGCGTCCCAGCGCCAATTTGGGCGCCCCATGGCCCAAACACTGTCCAAATCAGCGCCCCTGCGCCAGTTTGAGCGAACCTGCACGTGTGTTAATCCGTGATGCGAATTTTGACTTGTTTTGGGCCCAAAAATTTAACCCTAAGGCTATATATATGCTAGGGTTTGTGGGGATAAAAAGATTCTGACTTTTGGGGGCTGAAAACATTGGAGAAAGACCAAGGAATTAGAAGAAAATTGAAGACAATAATCGAAGGAATCGACACGAAGAAGATTGGACTTGAAGGCTAGAGAAGGATTGAAGATTGTAACTATGTTTTCATTCTTTTCTCTTACCTTTACTTCTTGTTTTTCTAAGATGTTGTTTAATTTTAGAATGATGTCTTTCAATTACGTTATGAACTAAATTATTATTAAGATTGCAACGGAAACTATGTCTAGTTAAATTAATCTACTCTCGTTTCTAGTTCTTATTGATCTTATATGAGTTGTTTGTCATATTTTGTGATTGATGTATGATTGTATGACCAACAATTAATTTGATAACCTAGATGAAATTGGGAGATGAATTCTAGGTTTAGATCGGAATATGATGACATGCGTTTGGTTAATTCTTCTTAGGATTGAATTGCTGGGTTTGTGTATAGGATAGGAATATACCTATATGTCGTGTGTAACTTTTATGAGAGTTTGAACTTAATGAATCTATTCCAACTTATTTAATTGTGATAGATAATTTTATTTAACTATCGGAAGAGGTTTGATAAATAACTTTAAGTTCTCAGTTAACAACTTATTTTGATCAATTGACTAGAAAGAGAGTAGAAAGATTTATACGAATCATTAGGGGAAGTTGTAATCTTAATCTTTTACCCGGTAAATTCAACCTTGATTATTAAATTTAGGTTCAGTTTTAAATTAGTCATTCCATAGTTCAATTCCAATTGTTTAAATAAAATTGAATTGATATAAAGTTAGTACTTAAAATTTATTAGTAATAATTCTCCGTGAGAACGATACTCTACTTATCACTTTATTACTTGTTAATCGTGTGTACTGGCACATAAATTGTCAATACCAAATTCGGACAACAAGTTTTTATGCCCAATTAGCATTGATGATACCTCAAAAATAAATCCCAAGTGCCAGCTCAAGAGGTCAAACTAGGCAAGCAGAACTCGGAAGAGTATAGCTGGAGGTCCCCTCGAGATAAGCAATGACAATGACAACCAAGGAAACAGTTGGATAATCACGAGAGATTCCTAAAGCGTTAGAAAGCTATAATCAAGGCACCTAATCTCACTCAACCAAGATCTTCTCCTAAAATTAGGGAGAACCCCACGAAGTAAGGGCAAAAATCTCGGCTAGGATCCCACTCAGTAGGGAATGACCCTATAAATGCAATGTAATACCTCCTAACAGAGCGGGGAACCCTAGTGGCACAAAGAAGCCATAGCAATCTTGTAATCACCGTGAATGAAACAAAAGGAGCAAGAGCCTCCATTTCAGAGTGGACTAGCCGAGCTCCCGAGCTGGTGAACCACTATAATTCTTTGTCTTAACTTCCAAACTCCTGGATATTATTGCATCATCTTAGCAACCTAACGTAATCCCAGCCCATCTTTTGTAAAAGTGCGTTAACACCATCAGTTTGGCACTGTCTGTGGGAAATGACTGTTCCTGTTACAAATAAAACTGATTTTTCAGTGACTGATGGTATTAATGTGAAACATGAGCAGAAGTCAGACCAATCCTCTACGGATGCAAGATCAACAGGAAGCCGTAAATAACAGACAACCCGAAAACACGCAAGAAGCCGATCCCCCTATAGGGGGCCTTCCCATGAATAATGAGATAGAGGCCCTTCGTCTTGTCAATGAATGTCTGATAAAATAGAATGAAGAGCTCTTAAAGCTCCTACAATGCCCACAGGAGGCGCGACCGACCCAAGGAGGCCAGAATAATCCACCACCAAGGGAGCAACTGTATCTCGACCCCTTTATAGAAGTTAATGAGGTGGGAGAGAATAGCCATACCTTGGGGCAAGAACCTCGCCTACCCCTTAGGAATGGTCACAACGAGGAAGTGCAAAGTCAGTATAAGGAAGAGGAGAGGAGCGACTTCTTCCCTTATCAACAGGAAAGAAGAGAACACCACTGGGAGCAACGTTTTAAAGACATCCAGCAAGAGCTCAGCCAGATGAAGGAGGCAATAAAGAGCAAGGCCCTAGTCACTATGGATGCTTTGGTGCAGCAAACTGAATCCCCATTCACTGCTAGGGTGCTGCACTTCCCTCTCCCACCTAAATTCATAATCCTGTAGGTGGATGCTTTTGATGGGATAAAAGATCCCGTGGACCACCTTAACACCTACAAAAATCAAATGGAGTCGCACGAATATCAAGATCCAGTGAGATGCAGGGCCTTTGCTATCACCCTGAAGGGCTCAGCCTTTTCATGGTTCAACAGACTCTCCCCAGCCTCGATTTCCTCTTTTAAAGAGCTGTCAATCTCATTTGTGTCCCACTTCATTGGAGCTCGGACCTATAGAAAACCGAGCTACCATTTGTTAAATGTGAAACAGGGACCTGATGAGAACCTACAGTCTTATGTCCAACGGTTCAACTCAGAATCCTTGAAGGTGGATATCCTAGATGAAAAATTTGCTATTACAACCTTCATAGCTGGTCTGGGAGTTCAGTCAAAAGATCTGATATTTTCCATCTCAAAGAACCCCCAGGCTAGTATGGTGGAAGTGCTTACCAAAGCAAAAAAATGCATAAATGGTGAGGAAGCACTCCTCTCCAAGGTCGGGAGCCTTTCGTTGAGAAAGGAGAAAGGGAAGGAAGAAAAGAAGAGAGAATGAAGTCCCAGAAAGCAAAGAGAACGAGGCAGGTCTCCAAGAAGAGACAGAGAGCATTCTCCGAAGAGAAGAAAAAATGTCAGGGATCGCCTTGGCCCTTCACAACCAGAGCTACAACCAAGGTATGCACCCCGATAGCTCACCTCCTGACTACTGCGGTGTCTCAGATACTGTATGAGGTGCAAAATGAGAAGTTCTTAAGGTGGCCACCCCGGATGAAAGCAGACCCGACAAAAAGGGATCCTACAAAGTATTGTGACTTCCACAGAGACCATGGTCATCACACCGACGACTGTATCCAATTGAAGAAGGAAATAGAATTTCTAATCCAGCGAGGGCAGCTGAGACGTTATGTGACCAATGATAATCAAAACCGAGCTCTCCCACCTCCCTCCCCCTCAGCGTCAAGCACCAGAGCCACACCAGTAACCAATGAGGGAGATTAGAGTGATATCTAGAGGATTTGCCAGAGGAGGAGGGTCCAACTCTGCTAGAAAAGCCCACTTGCGAAAAATTAGAGCCATAGAAGCTCCCAAAGTATATACTGTGTCTAAGTCTCCACGCTTAGACATGGCTATCACTTTCTCAGATTCAGATCTGGAGGGCTGTCAACATCCCCATGATGACCCTTTGGTGGTAAGAGCTGTGGTGGCCAACAAGACTTTCCATCGTGTTTTGATTGACAATGATAGCTCGACAGACATCATTTTTGCTTCTACTTTTGACAAAATGGATATAGGAAGGGAAAAGCTTGAACCAGTAAGTGCCCACCTATTGGGATTCTCAGGAGAAAGGGTGCTGCCCCTGGGGTCAATCCAACTCATCTTGACCTTAGGTGACCCACCCTGTCAGACTACAACAACTGTGAAATTTCTAGTGGTTGATGCACCTTCAGCATACAACATGCTCCTTGGAAGACCCTCGCTCAATTATATAAGGGTTATTCCCTCTGCCTATCACCTTGTA